GAGCATCTCCTGGAAGGAATGTTGTTGAGGGAGGTGGTAGTTCTGTGAGAGCAGGACTAGAGACTTCAAATGCTTTTTTCTCATGTCTGAGATACAGTTCAACTATCTGACATTGGTAAAGTATATGTGCTTACCATTCTATTTTCAACCCATGCACTTTGTATAATATATGTTAAATAACCAAATGTTTTACATAAGATATGCTGAACGACTGAATGTTTTGCATAATACATGTTTAACGACTGATTGAATTTAGATGATGATTTTGCTTTTCATTAGAAAATATTGACACTTCTGGGTGCTGGTAGCTCAGGCTGGAAAAGTGGCTGTAGACATTAATCTTCATAGGCATTACGTAGCAAAGGTCATAATGGCATTACATGTCCAACAGTCTAAGGTCTGGACAGGACATTCCTGACGGTGATTTCTTGCTGAATTCTTGAATTCCCTACCTATATCATTATGGTAAGTCAATTTTTATTAAGCAATAAATTGACTACTTGAATCAGAGCAACATGCCCATCACTGGTGATGTACCTCAGGTGTCCCCTTTAATTCCTTTAGTATAATTCACTGCAGTGCAGACTCAACATTCAGGGCCGACTTTAACATCTGATTAAAAAAAAGAAATGCTTTTATTAAACTATAACATACCCACAGAATTCTGAAAAGTCAATGGCAAGAGGCTACATGTTAATTTACCAAGAATTTTTTTTTTGTTTCTGTTGTTTGTTTTTGTACTCATCATATCCAGAAACCTCAACATGTAAGAGTGTCAAAACTGGACACACCCAGGGAATCAGACTCATACTAACTAAACTCACAAAGAACACATGTACAACTAAAAGGACTGTGTGTGGACAAAAACAACCAGAACTGTCACAGTGACCACCAGACTCTTGTGGTTGTAACCAGCACATTCTTTCCCTGGAGGCAGAACAAGTAGGAAGCCAAATTATGAGCTGAGAGTAAGTAAAGAATGAAAACAAGAAGAGATGTGTATTCTCAAGGAATATTTTGTCCAGAACATGAGAGGCCTGATGAAGCTGCCATTTCTTTTTTCAATCATGAAATAACTCTCTGGTTGTATGTATGTATGTCACTGTGTGCATGGCCACATACATTTTCTTTCAGATTCAAACTGCCTCTCACAGAGTCTCTTTGGCACTCTTTGGCATCTCTATTTCTATCTCCTTGGCACTCTTGTTTTCTCTGATACAAGCAAAGCCTGCTTCCTAAGTTCACATTTTCTTCCATTATAGTAAGACTGTAAAGAGAAGCAAAAGTCAATACTATATGAAAGTATTATTAATGATACGGCCACTTATACATTACTGCCCCCTTCAAACATCTCTTTTAAACTCCACACTCCTCGCCCCTCCCCCCATGATGGTAAACATTTATAGTACAATGCAAATACACTCAATTCTATTACAAAGTGAAGGGGCAAATCTTGCAAAAGGTACAAGATCAATAATAGTGAGACTGGTAAAGCTGGCACATGAGGATTTACAGAGTTAAACAAACAAATGAAGGTAAAATCAACTGGGATGACTACATGGGTGCTTCAGAAGAGAATAGTCTGAATATCAAAGGATTAACTGAGACCCTTGGGAAAACTGAAGAAGCTCTCACACATTTTTACGAATGTTTTTGATTATCCTATTTCTGATTATTCTCTAAAAGTCAAACATGAAATAAAGCATATTGTTAGGTGCTTCATATTGTCCAGGAAAAATTAAGCCAACAATACTCATCTTGATGTACTATTTATTCATTTCACAATTTGCATATAGTTGTACTTATAAATTTTGTCCAATATAGGATAGAATGTGTTTTAAAAATGTTGAGTTTTATTTTCAAAAAAAGTCTTGGCAAACCTTTTTTCACTAATTGCTCTGAAATTTGGTCTCTGTTTTAAGTAGACTTAAAGGAAGCTTTCTCAGTGCTAATCACACTAGGATAATAAGCACTTCCTGTACTTATGGCACAGAACTTTTCTGGTAGTAACAGTCCAATGTCTTGATTGTTTCTATTTACATATAAAATTTTTACTATTTTGGTCATAAATATCCTCATAATAAAATAAACTTATTATTTACTCTTAGGTGTTTCCTATACGATGGTTTTCAAAGGGTGATATTTTTAAAAGTATCATCAGTGTCTTCTAAGGCAACACATGTGGGGGACATAGATTTTGGAGTGAACTTGGAGTCAGACTTATATTTGAATCAGCTTTTGCCACTGAGACATGTGACAATGGGCAAATTATGTGAACCCTCTGTGAATCATCTGTGAAAATGGAGCAATAATAGCTCCCTCAAAAGACTGTGGTGAAGATCAGACTTGAAGACGTTTAAAATGCCAGGTATAGAGAAAGCATTCAGTATGCAATAGTTATAGCAGTGCTACTTATTTTTGTTTTTTGACTGCAAAAGTTCCCTTGTGATCTTAATTTGTTGATTATTTTGTACCTTCCGATCCTTTGCATGTGCTTTGCAATGTGAATCAAGTGTCTCTAAGCTATTAAAGTTAGCTAAACATGACTAATTTTGAAAACGTGCCTTTAGGAGAGCCTGTTTGGAAAAAATCTCTTAGAATGAATTCTAGAAGCTTTGAAAAAAGTCATAATGAGGGTTTTAGGATTTACACTAAAATTTTGGTTGAATTCTTCTATTAGTATGACAATTTACATGAGAAAAACTTCAATGGAAGCCTCCCTTTTCCACAATGAAGTTTTTTATAAACAAATCTTGACTTAAAACCAAGAAACCCAGTCTTTTACCTTGCAGAAAGCCCCATTCAGAACACAATCTTGGAAGTCAGGTGCTCCTAGGTTTGAGCCCCTGTTTGGCCGCTTCCTGGTTGTGTAACCTTGAGCAACTGAGAATTTCCAAGCTTGGGTATCTTTATCCATAAAGTTAGGGGTAATAAAAACACTTACCTTGGGATTGTCATGAAGATGAAAGGTGAAATTGCATATAAAATGTTTATGTGCCCATACAGCTTGGCACATCATGCTTAATAAATATTATTTGCAAAATCTTTGGACTCCTAAATTAACAGGTATGTCATATTTTGTTCAAAATGGTAATAGCATAATACAAAAACAAAAAATTTCACTTGAGTTTCCAACATGAAACATTAGGTTCTTTGGTCTTCCCTTGTCTTTTGCCTCCTGAGTTTCCTATATTTGGCTTCCTTTTCTTCCCCTATTACTTTTGAACATATCTTCTGCCCCAGTATTTCTGGGTGGTCTCCTCCCTATCCCCATCCAATCAGAAGAGGAAGTGGGGGTGGGGGGAGACAGTACTCCAAATAGGCAAGAGGTTTCTATCTTCCTCCTTCCCTAAGACTCTGGTATATCCTCCCATGAGCCTGATCAGTTCAGATTTATGTACTCAGCTAAAGCCAGGAGATAATAACAGCTAACATTTAGTATTCACCTAATAGCATCAGATACAGTATGTCAGGTGTGTTACAAACATTATTTTAGGACATCTTAACTGTTCATAAGGATCAGGCAAGTAGATACCACTATTCCTGTTTCTGAGAAAGGTAGCCAGAGGGTCTGAGCCAGTAATTGGCTCAAAGACACACCGCTAGTAAATGGCACTATCAATGGTCATAAGGATCCAGTTAATGCATTAATTGGGGTGTGATGGCTCTAAGTGGTTTTCTGCTTACAGGAAAGGCCCACATAGCCTTGCATACTGGCACTTATATGTGCGCTATCATAATATCACCTTATTCGTGTAGGACTTTTAACCTTTTTATACCATTTATCTCCAAGCACCACGAATGTGTATACATAACACTAAATGCACCAAGATCCTTGTGCATTTCTTGTGCATACACTTGCAGTAAGCACACCAATTTTATACACATACACTGGATGCTGTAGATTTGACCAAGAGAATGCAGGACATCAAAAAGTAAATAAACTTTCCTCAACTCAATAATTCCTGTTTAATTTCCTCTCGCAAATATTGAATTTCAAATTGTGTTCGTCCTATAAAGTAGAATCTTTCAAATATTATGATATGGAGTTCCACATTGTCAGAAGAGACAGTTGAGAAGGGCGATTAAGACGGATGTGTTTCTTCCATTATGAGTTGAATTAAGCTTCTCATTTCTAAGTACCAAATTCTGCAATCATTCCAAAAGTGGAAGTTCAGCTCACAGAACATTTTGGGGAAGCTTCAGCCACACTAACCATTTAAGGTCAAGCAAATAACTGGTCAACCCTAGCAACTGGCATAGTGTAGGGCTTTCAGCTAAGAGATAATAGGGTCTAGATCTATACATCTCTATACACGTTAGCTGTATCGAAAACACAATCTGGGTTCTCTTCTCACCACCGCAGCTTGGCTGACTGACACTTTCTCTCCAAGTCACAAGGGAGGGGGGGGCTCACGTTTAAGACCCCAAACAAGTTGCCTGCTCCTGCCAGCACCTCACGTCTACCCGGACTCCCTCTCGTCTTTAACACACACTTCTTGTACTATGTCCCCTTCCAGTCAACTCTAACTGGGACTCCGACCCTCGCCGGGTCCCCATTGCGGGGGCTGGGCAGGGGGTGGGGGCGCGGCGGCGCGCTCCGGGGCGCCGGCGGGCTGGGGGCGGGGCCTGGCGGGGGGCGGGCCCCGGGCCGCTGTCTGCGCGCCGCTCCCCTTTGTTCTGTTCCATTGTGTGGCACTTCCTCCTCCGGCGCTTCTTCTCTGCACCCCGGTAGCTGGTGGGGAATTCGTGAAGGGGTTTTTGGTGACTTTCCCCCACCGCCCCGCTCCGGTTTATTTTTTAGGAACTGTGGAACTCTTCTGCGCTGCCCCTCCCTCGCGGTTCCCCGCCCCCAGGCATGGGAGGGAGGCGGAGTGGGAAGTGGCTGGCCCTCGTCCCCACGCCGGCTTCCTCGTCCTCCCTCCCTGCTCTTCCTCCAGGAGGCATCCTAACCCCGCATTCTGGACTTTCACCTCCTGACCGGCCGCGTCCACGCCAGAATGGCGATACGCGACCCTCTCCCTTCTGAGGGGCGCCGGCTCCGGCCGCCCGGGGCTCCATCTGGCACCAAAGCGGAGGTCGAAGGCCGGCGTGCGGCCCGAACCCAGCCGCCTCGGCGTCCCGGGAGCCGGCGCGAGTGTCGCCGCGACCCTCCCCGTCCCTCGCGCTCACGCTACCGGGCCGCTGTGCGGCCGCCTCAACCCCCTTATATAGCCCTCTAAAAATAGCTCGCCTCGCACCGCCTTGTAAGGCAGCGGGGAGATTCGCAGCTCGCCAATCGGCGCCCGCCTCCAGGGCCGAGCCCCGCCCCAGGTCCCGCTCCGCGCTCCCCATTGGTCCTGAGTGACTTCATGAGCCCCCTGTTTACCTTACATGGTCACACGCGGCCTACTGGACGCCCTCCTCCGAGATCCCACGGCTGCGCGGAGAGCGGGGCGGAGGGAGGGAGTTTGGGGAGGGGGAAGAGCAGGAGGAGGAGAAAAGGAGGAGGAGGGGGAGAGACTACAAACTAGCAAGGATGGGGTGGGGGGTGGGGAGGGAAGGAGAGCGGGGGGGAGAGAAGCGATCGCGAGAAAAAAAAATGCAACCTCCCAAAATAAAGAGCAAAGATTGCATTAGGAGCGAACAGCGCTGCAGAAATAGATGGCAGCTTCGTATCAGTGAGTTTGCATCCCCCTTCCTGATCCACGAGCTGGAGTGATTAGAGCCCTGGAAGGGAATTGTTACTCCCGTGGAGAAGTCCCCTTTTCCTGGCAGCCGTCTGCACTGTACACGCTGGATGCTTCTCTCCATCCACCCCACTCAGTCTCTCCTCTCTCACCTCCTCTCTCCCTCTCTCCTGCATTGATTTTTTTTTTTTTTTTCCTTTTTAGTTGACTGAAACAAAACAAAACAAAAGGGCCACTGGATGTCTGCCTTCTTGGGGGGTGAGCCAGACAGACTGACAAACAAACAGACCCAACTGTGTTCGGGGGAGGGTTTCTCCTCCCGTTTTGCCCGGCAGCAGCAACATGGACGTGTTGGCTAGTTATAGTATATTCCAGGAGCTACAACTTGTCCACGACACCGGCTACTTCTCAGCTTTGCCATCCCTGGAGGAGACCTGGCAGCAGGTGAATGATTTAAATTACTTGTGTAAATCGTGTGGTGGCGGCGGACTCGCAGGGGCTGCGTTGGTGTGGGCTTGGGGGTGAATTTTTTTGTTTGTTTGTTTAATTTTTTACCCCCTTTTTGGCTGTCTGTTGTTGAAAATGTTTTCGGAAACAGTCATATGCTTACCTCTCCACCCACCCCCTAACCTCGTATAGTGTGCCGAGCTGAGCAGCCGGTCCGAGCTGCCTGCGTTTCAGTCACCAACACACATCCTTGTGCACATTTTGTTGGGCTCACTGTCCCCCGAACAGAGACCTGCCTAACTTCTGGGGTTCGGAGGAGCCGGGTGGGAAGGTGGTTTGGGGCTTAACGAGCCATCGCAGACAGTTAGCGCGTCCCTACATGCTCTAGCTGTACCTACTTGGTACCTTAAATCAGGTTCATTCTTTCAACTGGTGCTGACGGCCGTCAGATTCGGGGGTGGGGGGGGGTGGGGGGGTGGTAAGAGCGAAGCGGGGTGTTTTCCTAGTAATTAGCGAGTGTCAATAAAGAATAGGAACTTGATTTTGAGATTAGAAGGTGGGCAGGAGGACGAGGAATCCAGTTATAAAAGGTACTCAAGGATATCTTGGAGGAGGACGGGAAGATATATCTATCTAGTGCTGACCATGCATTGTAGGTTTCCCCAGTGCAAGATCCACGGAAAGAGATCACTCTCTGCATGTGTCCTTGCTTTCTTCTCTCGGTTGGTGTCCCTCTCCACTTAGCACAACCGACAAAGGGTGGTGTGTGCTTCCATGCCTCTGACTTTGTCTTAGAGGACTAGTTAAGAAACTCCTAAGATGCTGAAGGGCACCAATGCCAAGTTGGCTAGATGTCCCAAGGAGGGGGAAGTGGGGCTGGTGACAAGTTCACTGGGCTTTGTGAAGTGGAATAATGAAAGTGCTGGTCAGTGGAAAGTGCTAGATCTGCTGCAGAAACAGTGGTTTTTCTCAGTAAGGATTGGGAGCTGCTGAGGGGACATTCTTCAGGAAAGATGGTGGATGGGGGGAAGGTGGAGGGACACGAGTATGCTTTAGTATTCTTTCAAAATTCTACAATGTGTATCATGGAAAGTCCAAGAAGACAGTTCAGATTTGCACGGTGGAAGTGTGAGCGTGCACAGTCCGTCTTGGAGAAACGTGCTTGCCCTTGGGGAGGGCTGCGAGAGGCTTGATGTGTGGCTGCTCATGTAACTTCTCTGCTTCGTGACAGCAGCTTGTTAAGGCTAATGAACGGCTGGATTTCCTCTGCCAGCATCCAAAGCGGGGTTTGCCGGCTTGAGTCTAAGGATGTAATAGTCGCTGCTTTAGCGAGTGAGGTTTGGCTTTCGGTGTAAGGAGGTGATCCCCTGTACCATTGTTACTAATTGCTGTTACTCCCCTGATTCTTCCAGGCTGGAGTTTCTCCGGATACTGGTCTCTGGTGTCTGTAGGTCCGCACATGCATTCCTGCCTGAGGATGCTGGCAGATGTGTTTGACTTTGTCTTTCTCTAAAGGCACACACAGCGCACACTTTTTTTTTAGCATAAGGCATTTCTCCAGTGCATCCTTTCCTCCATCCTTGATGAGACTGCCTCATGAAGGGTCTCACTGGAGCTTTTTCCTCCTTTTATTTCACATGCTAATTAAACCAAAAGGTTGCCAGAATTTCATTTTCAGAAATAGTCTTCGTTTCACACTGTCAGCCCACTGGTGTTGAATTGGTTGCCTATTAACAACTGTCTAGACTGGTTAGGGAAGAGAATCTGTTGACTTAGGCAGCCCCTGTTTGTGACTAACTGTTAAGTAGGGTTGGAGGAAAGAAAGTTGGCTTTATTTGTTACAACGTTCCCTCCTGATGAATCACCCAACTTTGTTTTTGTTCAAGTTTTCACAGTAGTAAAGCGTGCTTTTTGGGGAAGGCCTCTCCAGAGGAAACCTGCCTTTCTAGATCTGGTTAGACCATCCATGAGAACATCTAGATCTATGAGGAAACATCTTTGGTTTGATAATTAGAGGATGTATCAGATCTATTGTTTCCTCAGACGCCTTCTCTGCTTTTCTCTCCACCTCCCAACCTCGCTCCTCCTCACTTCATCTCACCGCCTTCAAGGAACCTCTAGCTTAGTTTCTATCTGTGGGCAAAGGAATTTCAGCCGACTGCACCTCCTTCCCTATTTCTTGCCTTAATCCTGTCCTACTGCCTGTTACCCTCACCTTCAGATCGTTTACCATGCTCTTTCAGAAGCATTCTCATCGTCTATACTGAAATGTAACTTGTGAGAACACAGTCCTAAGTGAGCTGTCACTCCAAGGAGCTTGCTTCTCTGGACTCCTTAGTCAGAAATGCTTTCTGTAAAGGTGACTGGGACTCCCAAGTTCATACTGCTGACATACCTCCAACTTCTATCTCTTCCTCTCTCCCTATGCCCTCCCTCTGCCGCTTCTGAGTATAAAGGAGGGGAATGTGGTTACATACAACTGTTGGTTCCACATCAACCATCAGATGGTGAAATTGTAAGTCTCCTTTGCTCAAATCAGCTCAGGAAGGTTGCTGCAAAGAACCCCAGGCCGAAGGAAGTTTCCTGATGCTCTGGGGTAATCAGATTTTAGAGGTCAAATGAGGAGCAATTATTATATGTACTTCTGAAAGTGAACAGTGTACCTTGAGGAGATGAGCGAAATGCAGAGATTCCAATAATCTGATTTGGTTTGTAAGAAAGACTGGCTTGGATGATAAACCCAAGAACATCTGTGCATTTGAAAGTTAAGGATGGAGGTTTTATTTTAAACTCTTGCCTGAGATAATTGTCCTGCTTAACAGTCAGTGAGTTTGTCATAGATCTCCTGTCACAGGGATCATCATTTTGACATTGGGTTTTGGGACAATCATGTCTTAGCCACATCCAGTGCCAACTCTGAAAATCGTTGCCGGTATAATTTTTAAATCCAGATGGACATCCTACATTAACAGCTCTCCATTCCTGGGCTCTGACTGCATACTTAAGCACTTGGCTCAAGTAACATCATCCCTGCCTGTCATATAACTGTAAATTACGCTGTGCTTATGTGGTCTATTATTTTATGGAATTCAGCTGACGCACAACTCCTAAGGCCACCAGCCTTAAGCCCTTCGGAAACTTGCAGGAAATTTTCCAAGAGCTGTCTGAGCAAAATTTAAAAAAAAGTCAAAGGTAGGACAGAAGCTAGCGTAGTGTATAGGGTCCCACTTGATGATGGATAATGGGGGACCCATTCATGAGTTCTGTCGCCATCAGAAATCATGATTTTTCTGGATGCGCTGATGATTTGGAAGATGAAGAAGGATTTAATACAATATTGATGGTTATTTTTCTTTGGGAAGCTACAAACACTTTTAGAATTTGGATATATTCTTCACACCTAGACTGCTATTTCATGAGTGCAGGTCAAGTAATGATGTTCTAAGTCTTATTTACATTTAGCCTTGCTTCATGCCATTGAGGAGCATGGTGTGTTTACTGGAAAACTCTTATGGAATTATGTTTGTTGTTAATGCTGATTCATAATTGGCAGATGGGGTCAGTTTCAGGCCTCCCTTGTGCTCAGAGAAAATTTTCCACTGCTACTGGAAACAAATAAATAAATCATAGAACGTTCCTCCCTCCTCCCCCACTCTCCCATTGTTTTAAACTAATGGCATACTTGGCTACTGTAAGAACTGCAGCGTCCCCATAACACTGCAATTTCATCTTGGTGACAGGCACCCTGAACCACTTTTTGCAAGGGCCTTTGGTATGAAGCATCTCTAGGGGACAACCTACAAAAATGGTTGCCTTCCAAGAACAGCCTCATGGTGCAAGGGATAGGATTTGGTCTGTGAGCTACATTGCTTCTCCTGCACGGGGATCGTGCCTTTGCACTGCCTTCTACAGGCCCAAGCATCCAGGTGCTGGCTCAGCCAGAAAGACAAAGCAAACTGTAGGGTCCCTGCACCCGCAGGTTTGCCTCTGTCCCCAGTTTGCAGAAAACCTTGTCGTGAATTAGAATTTCTTGGCAACAGCACCACCCAGGGAAATTTGTAGACACAAAGGAGCCTTGCTAACCACACTGAAAGGATAAAATAGCTGGCTTTTTATTTATTTATTTATTGTATGTGATTTGTGCGTTCTTTAGTTACCATAAGCCTATTTTTTAAAAAATTTGAAACAGTGACTTGGCAGATGAAAAAAAAAATTGGAACTGCCCCTGTTACCCAGATTTCCTTTATAAGGATGCAGTCACTAAATAAATGTAGCTTTACAAATGAAAGCACATGTGAATGCCATCAATCACACACTTAGCCTTTCTTTAACAGATTTGTTTCCATGTTCTTCTAAATAGATACATCTCTGTGTAGATTTAGGGTCTCTCAAACATGATCATTAAGTCTACCTATTTCAGTTTGGTATTTTAAAGTGAATGAGTGTTACAATGCAGATTTTTTTTTTTAACTACATCTGTCTTTAGTTGCGGGAGAGGGGGTAAAGGAAGTGCTGACTTCTTTGTTCTCCATGTAACCCCCACCCCCACTCCCTACCCTGAGGAGAATGCGATGTTGGGGTCCAGTCCATTTAAAGGGCAGAGCAGAAGATGCACTGTGACACCTCACCCTGAAATGATTTATGTATGGGTATGTCAGAGACCTTCAGTGTTCAAAATGCGCTCTTCCTCCCTCTCAGCCCATTCTAAATATAAATGCCAGTGGGGGCTATTTGCCTCTCCACTTAAATGGAAATAGTTTAGAAAGGGTCCTAATGGAGCTTTTAGTTGCCATTCTCTTATAAATCTTCAGATTCTTCTCCCATCAGAGAATTCCCGCATTTTAACTTTCTGAGTACAGGAAGGCAATGCAGAATTCTTTAATCAGGCTATGCTTATTGGGGAGGGAAGGCAGTTTCCTCCAGCCAGCCCCAAATGACTCATGTTGGTAGGGTAGCTGGCCGCATGGGGTGGCAGACACCCCCTATCTCTGCAGTTT